TCTCGCAAATTGGAGATGCTCCATGTTTTGAATCCCCGTCACCTACCAGGACTCCTCATTCAAAGTTCCATGAATCCTGAAGCTCATAAATTGACTGCCCATTCACCACCCTCAGAGGCTTCGAGCAGGCTGTTCCCAAGACAAGCTCTGGAACACCTGGTGAAGCCCCCAAGAAGCGGCTACAAGACAGATTCTCCTGTGGCGACTGCTCCTCGAACAAGAACCGCAACTCAGTCCTCATCTTGGAAACGATTACCGTTGAGCCATCATCCACGAAGTTCACTAGACACTCAAAGAATCGGAATTCTGCCTGCTTCCAGTCCTCAGTCTTCCCGAATGCTTCATGGAGGTGTTCGTGTAGCTCAATGATGGCCTTGCATCGACACAGCTTCATCAGCCGTCTTCGGTGCCTCTTACTGGTTGTATCAGCAGATACTGCGTCGTCGAAGGCCCTGTAATGCAAGTGGCGGGATTCATCTTCCTCACTCACCATTTCGACTTCCTCTTGCCCTTTCCTTTGCCTTTCTTCCCTTTTGCACCTCCGACTGGATTTGGCGGGGGGGCTTCGTCTTTTGCTTCGTCTTTTCCTCCTTCTTCCTTCTTTTCGCCCCCTCCCGCAGCTGCTCCTCCCCACTCGTTCTGAATGAGAGTGAGTGTGGGTGAGAGTGAGAGTGAGTGTGAGTATGAGTGTCAGTGAGCGTGAGTGATAGTGAAGGTGGGTGTTAGTGAGTGTGGGTGAAAGTGAGAGGGTGAGTGAGAGTGGGAGAGTCAGTGTGAGTGAGTGCGGGTGTGAGTGAGAGTGAGAGTGAGTGTGAGTGAGAGTGAGTGAGAGTGAAGGTGGGTGTTAGTGAGTGTGGGTGAGAGTGAGAGTGTGCGAGTGAGAGTGGGAGAGTGAGTGTGAGTGAGTGCGGGTGTGAGTGAGAGTGAGTGTGGGTGAGAGTGGGTGTGTCTCCACCTCCTGGTCTCGCTCTTTTTCTCCTGCTTTGCTGCCTTGAGTTCTTGCCTGAACCAAGCTCGCTGCTCTCCCTCTGGCAGGACGAGTTCGATCAGCGATCCCTGAGTCCAATTTCCCTGAGCCACGAACAGCTCTATGCTCTTGATCCGTTGGATCGCTACGTCCAACGCTCTCAGGGTGTTGTTCGATGCCATCAAGTCCACCATGGTTGCAAGCGTGCGGAGCTCCCTCAAGTTCCTCAATCCGATGGTTGCCTCCGGAGGTAGGTTCTCCCCTGATGATGCCGCTTCCCCCCCAATCGATCGGTTCAGCAGCTCGCTGAACCTCCTTAGGGTCATGTTGGCCAGATGCCCTGGCTTCTGCTCGTGCAAACGATGGATCTTGTCGACCCCTTTTGGGAGGGCAGCTAAGCGAAAAGCGAATCGGTTGACGAACTCTCACTGGAGCTTTCGGTCGACTCGTGTGTCTTCTTGTCCTTTTTCTTCTTCTTTTTCTTTTTGTCAACAGACAGTCTCAAGGCACTCCCTTCTACCGGAGCTGGCGCCCAGCCCTTGAGAGTCTTCTCGAGGTCATCCTTATCGCTTCCGGCAGCTTTCTCCTTCTCATCCTTCTTCCTGCGCTTTTCGGGAGGTTCTTCATCTGTCTTGGCCTTCTCAGCCGTAGTCTGAGCTCCCAGGGCACGTGCCAATCCTTCAATGCCCTCTGCTCCTGACTTTACGCCTTCATCACCCTTTGAACCCTGGGCACCCGTGGCCTCGCCCCCCCCAGGAAGACCCAGGGGGCCGGATCCATGGGCGCCTGAGTCCAATCGGGTGAGGGCTTCACACACCTTCTCTTTTTCACCTTCGTCCGGCCAGACTACCTTCCTGGCTGAATGCCCCCCAAGCACACGGAAGACGTCAACGTGAATGGGATCTCGATAGGGTGTGGCCACTCGGCATCCACTTGCAGGCTTGCTGCAAAGCTGAAAGGTCACCAACTCCTCTTTAAAATGGTCACCGACCCACCATTTGTAGTATCCATCCTCAATGGCCAAAAAGGTCCCCCGAAAAGTCTCCTTGGCTGGGCCAGCCTTTGTCTCGACCTCATGAGTGAGCTCTATGATTCCCCGTCCTTGGCGATTTCCGCCTTCATCGTAAAGGACCGCTTCCAGTATGACGCCCACCCCAATGCCAATGAGGTGCTCCTCACCAGCCTCGACGCCAAGGCTCCATGGTGCCTTCCATGGTCCTCCTCCTGAGGACCTACACCGGCTCCCCTACCAAAGTACGAGAACCGGCTGCCTCCAGAAGGCAGACCGGAAGGGCGTCACTGGTTTAACTATGTCCCTTAAACAAAAAGAGTCAGCTACGGGCATTAAATGAAAGTCCATCGCACTATTTCTAGGGGGCCATGTCTTGGGTTTCATGTCGCTACCTCTGACGCTTGTATCCAAAGGTTTCAATTGGTCACCGGATCCTGCAAAGTAAGTAAACCCCAAACAGAGTTTCTTTGGAACAAAGCTCTGCGGAGTAAAGACTTCTCGGGAGATGTGTCTATATAGTGAGTAGCAAACAAAACTAGAGAAAATAACTGGCATCACATGATAACCTTGGCATCACATCAAAAAATGTCTATTATACGTTTACTGTACTTTTTGAGGGAATTTCCACCCGGCTCGAGGAAGCTCTAATTCTCAGCACCGTCCTTTTGAACGTTTGTCTCGAATATTGTCAAGAAAACCTTGATAGTTGAATAGCGTTCTACAACCTTTACCTCGCAGAGTCAGCAAACATTATATACCCCATTAATACCTGCTTGGGCTGCAATGTTCCTTTTTATAAAAGAGCCTGTGTTTAGAATGGTGGAACAACATGCAATCACTACAAAATGACAAATCAATACGTTCATACAATGATTATTATTAATGATTATGCGTCTGGAAATTTTCTTCAACATGGTTGTCGTTTTATAAAATGACAGGTACAGGTTCCCTCAACATGCCACAAACAGCGCGAACATGGTTTTGGTTTTTCGGATTGTTTTCCCAGTGGGTGCCTCTATATATGCTTATAACTTAACATGTTTTTTGTTGCCTCCAGGGCTGGCACTGGCAAGGACGCTACTAGGGGCTCCTGGCATCGCTACTAGGAGCAAGAAGCTACTAGGGGCTCCTGGCCTTACTACCAGTAACAAGGACGCTACTAGGGGCTCAACTGAATAGATAGAGATCTTCCTGGTTGATCAGGATCAGGGTTGGGGGTTTGCTGGTTTGACTGCTGGGCTACTGTAGTTAGGGGGGTGGTGTTTGTTTGCTTTCGAGTTTGTTTCCAAGGGGTCTATAAACTGACTTTTACTGGATCTATGGCTAAAAAACTGGCAAAGGCCTAAGCAAACAAGCATTTTACAGAGGTGTTCCTTCTGTTTGTTGACAATCTCCAGCACGAGGCCGCTCTGTTTATAAAATGATGGTCTCGTCTTTCCATCTAATTGAAATGTTCCACATCACCAAGCACAAACTTGATGTTGTTGCTAAAATGATCATCCAACACTATATAAATGTTTGAGTATACCCACTATTAGGTTTGTAAAATGGGGTTTGGAAACTGCATTTAATAAAGGAAGAGGATCATCCTTTTATAGTGGTATACTCAACGGGTATCAGCAGACCACATACGAGTCAGGGTCCCATGAATTGAACAATCAGTTTTTACTGTTCCTTTCTTTTGTGGAAAAAGTATTTTGTTCATTTGCTGTGGAAGTTGCTTACCACACTCACTTGTCAGGATGGATAAAAACGAGGGCCTCCAGAATGAGCAAAAGCGCATCGCGCACGACGTTCGGATGGAGGACAAGAAGAACCAACTGTTACCTCGCATTGTGCATTCTGAACAAAGTTTTGATTGCTTGTAGACAGTTTTCCTGACAAAGAGCTTTCATCTTTTGACATACCTGCTTTGAGGTTAGCCTGGTTTCTTCATGAAACCGTTTGCGGCTTCCCCGGAGACTATATCAAGCAAGAGTTTTCGACTAAGTATGATGTCCAAGAGACGGTGATTTCTCCCCAAAGGTTTGGGAAGCCGATGTCGAGGCAGTGTCCGGTCCCACAAGAAAGTTTTGTTTATCAGGCTTAAGCTCCTTGCTTCCCAACAAGCCTGGCCTCCTTCCCCTGCAGGCTCAGAAGCTATCGCCTCTTTTACTTGAAGAACAAATACGAATGGCGTGGCCCTCCTCTCCGACAATACTGTTGCAGATTTTGCTGCCCTTTCAGGACTTGGAACTCAATGCGAACAGCATGTATTTCTTGACCAACTCAGAGCTGGTACTTCAGTTTGGTTCAACTTAGTTTTCCTTTTGCCGTTAGGTGTTGCAATTTAGTCGGTGTTATTTTCACACTCAGGCAAAACTGTGTGGTCAAGCCTTGGTTTGGGAAACTTGGTTTTGATAACTTTAGTTAACTTTAGTTGTTATTTTATATACATTAATACATTATAGCCTTTTATGATCGCGCCAGGAATAATAACTCATTTGGAAACGTTTACTGGGCAATGATAAAAACGGTTTAACTCAGCTGCCTGCAGCTTCAGGATTTGTCGCAAAATCCTGGAGCCAGAAGGACATCGTGTTCTGATGAATCTTTGCCAACCTTTAAGCCAAATTCATCAACATTGTTACTAGCCTGCAAACAACCACGGTTTCCTGAGTCTTTCTTATCCCGGGCAGTTGCAGTCCCAAATGTATCTGCGAGCCCAAAGAAACCCAACTCAGTAGAGCCATGCCATTCTCATTATATATTATATAAATATCATGTTTAAACTACAAAGTGTTTGGACACCAGTGACAGTTCCCAAAGGAAACTGCGAGCATGATCGCGCTACCATGAGCGCCAATCAGCTATTGCCACTGGGTGAGGGGCACATGAGACATCTCAAACTCGTCCTAAGACCGTGCCCGAGCGTTCCAAGCCTAGAGCCTAGCTTTTGTGCCCCAAACCGCAATGAATGCAGGCATCTCCAACACGCGTCGAACCTCACAACCTTGTGGGATCCGTCCGACTGCATCTTGCCTCATTCAGCTGCTTCATTAGTTTGCCGCCTTGCTTCAGCATCAGGATCTGACATGCAGGCTGTACCTGGCTCCGAAGAAACGTTCTTGGACTTTACGGTGTTTTTTCTAAACAACCAGGAAACCCAAAATAGTATGTACAGAGTAATGTGTGTGTGTGTGTTTACATGTATAACTGTTGATATATATATATATGATATAATGATATTATATATATATATGATATTATGTATGAGCGACCGGCAAAACCTCCCAGCAAACTGGGTTCCACTTTGACAAGGTTATCGATTTTGGTAGTTCACCATATCGTTTTACAGGGTTTGGTATAATCCTTTTTGACTTCGCACATGCGTGTGAGGGTTCTGTCACAACCACAAGCTGAGTCTAGCAGCTGCAGTTGTCAACATGCATACATATTAGAGATAACCCTACCTCTTTAACCAGCTGCCAAACACATCTGATCACCCCCCACCCAAAGCCACATGCAGCACACCTTTTTAGAGCGAGTCTTCGCTGTCTGAGATCTGGTTACGCTGGCTTACTGCATCTCGTTTCCTTTGTGATTGTTCCCTCGCCTTCGCCAGGCGTTTTTCATCTCTTTCACACAACTCTTCAAAATTCAGCTTTCGCTTCTTGGGTAGAGCCTGCCCTCTCCAAAGTGCCAGCTGAGCGCGGTGTTTTCGCATCAACTCATTCTCTTCTCCAGGATTGATTGGCCCCTTTTGCCAAGTGGGGTCTTGCCAATACCCTGTTTTCCACGTCAAGCGCTCAGGCGGCATGGGCTTGCGCAAGACTTGGTAGGATACCCGTGACCGTGTCTTGGGTCCACTGTGTGAAAACAAGCAGTTGTCGATTCGCACAGGCAAGCTCCCATGCCTTGCAGGTGTGGCCAACCATGAATATGACCTGGTCACCAAATCCTCATCCATGCTCAATGCATTTGTGTGGCTGGGCTTCTTGCCAGGGTTGAAAATCTCTATGATGAACCGTGTCCCACCTGGGTTTTCTGTTGCATCTCACGCTTTGCATGTCGCCGCAGCACTTCGGCCACAGCTTCTTCAGAGTCAGCAAAGCTATTGGGATTGAGCAGCCATTCGTCCAACCAGCGCCTGACAGGGCTGAAAACCTCGGAGTCGCACATTGCTTTTCCATGTTTCTCAACAAGAAAGTTGAGGCGCACTGGTTGCCCAGACTGTTTCGGAATGTCATAGAGGAAATGGAACAAGTTCTCATAGCTGCGGAAATGGTTCCCAGCATCAAACCCCAAAGTCAGTGTATCCAACCGTCCCACATTGTCCACATGTTCTAGGGCTTTTTTGACGCACAGGCTCCCATACAATGCGCTCAGCTCTATGATTTCACTCAACAAGACAATGGCCAACACACTCCTCTTTCCAGTGGCATTTCGTTGCGCGCAAAACATTGTGAAGACAGAAAGAGTCTTCCTTTGGGCTTGTCTCAGAGCCTGCTAATGGAATGGGGAGTTTTTCCACGAAGTCGCTGTGACAGTATGCACAATTGGCAGGCAAGTCCTCAACCAATCCTCACATATTGTCCTGTTCAAGCTGAGCAGCAGCCATGTGCCACTCATATGCTTCTACAATTGCCATGTGAAGCTTGGCAAACAACCCTGCTGCGTGGGCACTGCAGTTTCACTGAGGCCCTGTAGCAGCCGTAGCATTGAGAACCACTGGCTTTGGTTTTGCCATTGCCTGTCACGCGAACTTGCCACTTCACTTCATGGCGTTTGGCCATGCAAATTTCACACTTAGGCACTTCCGAGGGAGAGTACTTCTTCTTCAAACAGTTGCCTTGTTCACCGGCACCAAACACGGCGACAGCCTTCTCTACCTTTGCGCGCAACTCTGCACTCAAGGTGCTACAAGCCGCTTCTCCTGCTGTGTTGGCCTCGTCGTGCTCTGGCTCAGCCGGAGTGGTTTTGCACCTAATGCGTTTGCATGGCACAAGCGGGCTCTCGTCCTTGGCCTCCTTGCGTTGCCGCTTTGGGGTAGTTAGTGGCTCAGCAGCGGAAACGTGGACTTTGCACTCTTCAGCGCGTACTTCAGTTTGCCACCTCAGGGAAGTCACCCCCGCACGATGTCTAGAACAGGTATTAAAAGCGCTACGCATGTTACCCTCTATGTTTTTCGGTGGAAGGCCGTATGTCGCCTGCTCCTGGTTCCCGGCTGGCCCTTCTGGAGCAACAGGCTTACCAGTGGATTCACTAGCAGCTGGCGTCGCCTCTTGTCCGCTCAGCCCAACCTGAATAGGAAACATTTGACTTACAATACTCATGGGATCTACTCCCAAATTAACAAACAAACCACTTACCACGACGGGATACCTTTTTCATGCTTTTGCTCAAGCATGACGTCCATTGCCACTGGCCACCATGGTAACAAGCAACGTGGTGCGAAGCCCGCGCAGAGCCCGACAAAGTGAAGGTTTCCAAGGCCTGGCTTGCTTAAGCTTGCTTTGGTGAAAGGGCGCCATCCCCTCACAGCCCTACATAATGACCAAAAAAATTGGCATGATGATGACCAAGGCACACAGTAGCTGCGCCAGACTCGGTACTTTGCACAGTAGAGAGGTGCTTTCATGCGCTCGCCACAGGCGCCGATTCGGCAAGGCCCATCAGGCCCCGAAGGAGCAAGGTCGGACATTTGTGGCCAAAAGGAATGGAACATGGATGAGTCCTGCCAAAAGACACCCGGATGAGTGCCATTGTTCTTTTGAAAGCCTAGAAGATAACCCAACTCAAACAAAGAAAATGAACAGTAACAATGGAACAAGGTCTGATAGTTCAGAGTATCGTTTTTGGTAGTTCGCTATATCGTTTTACAGGGTTTGGAGACACTCACATCATATAGTTCGCTATATCGTTTTACAGGGCATAGGCAACTCACATCATAAAGTGGAACCTCGAAGATCAAACACTTATATACATGAACTGTTTCGCCTCTAGCTCATATGATGTTATATATATTATATCTATTAGATATTATATATGATGAATTGAATTATGTATTATATATATACAATGTCAATGCTAGAATTGGAAAACAATTCACATCTGAGGACGGGTGAAACATGGGTTACAGTAAGTCACCCAGTCAACCTTGGCACTCGCACACGCTTCCACAACCGTCTAGCCCGGGCAACTTAATTGCAATTCACAATTTATCATAATGCTTTCAGTGTTCACTTAAGATGTCTGAAAATGACACAGGATTGGCCAGGAAATTCAATATGTTCGTGCAAGATTTACTCCAGCCTCATCTCAATGTCACCTGTTAGTCTTGCCTACTGCTATCATGGCCTTCAACTAGACTCTTAGACTCTTCAGTTCATACTACTCTCACCGTTATACTATGTTTATCTCTTTTCTTGGTTGCATATACAACAGTTATCAACAGTTCAAGCTAGTGAGTTACTAAAAGGTTCTCCTTGCCTTCCTCTTCTTCTGGGTAGTTGAAGGCTGGTTGCCTGACGTGCCGGGCACCCGACGGAGGCTCCCAGCTTTCACAAAACATCAAATGTACGACTTTCAGATACTTGGCGGCGCCGCAACATTAGTAGAAATTGGCCCAGCTGAACCGGCACAGCAAGGTCCAAGACAGGCTGTTTGGCAATGGTTTCTTGCTGAACCGTGTGTCTCGATTTGACTTGCATTCAGGAAAAAATGTATTGCTGTAATATATTGTAATTGTTGTAATGTATTAGCCGCAATATGTTTTCCCGGACCAGGAAATTCGAGTTTCTTGACCCATCAGTGATGAAAATGTGGCGGAGCACAGCTTGGAAGAACTGTATTTGACCACACAGGCCACAGAAACATTCAAGCATGAGACACGAGAAACCATGACACCAAAATGGAACGAACATATTTCCTGCACATACTAGTAACAAGTGCATCGCTACTAGTAACAAGTGCCTTACTAGTAGTAACAAGAAGCTAGTAGTTAATTTAATTTCGTTGAATTTTAATTCTAATAGCTTCTTTGTTACTACTAGTAAGGCACTTGTTGCTACTAGCGTGGCACTTGTTACTAGTTCGAAAGTCGAAACTACAAAACATATTGCAAGTGGTCTTACACTGGTTGCTGCCTGGTCTCCTCCAGGCCGCCCCTGGTGCTGCCAAATAGACCGCAAAAAGCACCAACACCTTCGCTGTTCCGGCAACGAGCAAACACTCAGACCAGTGGCCTGCGCCACTACAAGTATGGGCTAAGTGTATACTTGGAAGTGAGTAAACAAGTGTGCAACGTTGTGCCTTCTTATGCACAAACAAAGCGAACAATTGACAGTGAGCGTGTGACTTGCATGATGTTTGTCAACTTTCAAGGGGTCGCGCCGCGCCCATTAGAAGTCAATGGAGCGCTTATAGGTATAGTGTACAGTGTAAAGCCATAGTGACGTAGAGTGAAGGGGACTGAACAAAAAAAATTGAAGAGGAAGTTGCAATGTGCACCACCTCAGTACATCTGGAGCAAGGACGTCCTAGCGGATGCACATTGCTCGCAGAAAGGATCTTTCCTTTCAGTAATCCCGAGCACCTATTTAGAACACCACCCAATTTACCGTAAAGAAAACGCATGTCTGACGCCCCGAAATACAGTTTACAAAACTATACCCAAGGTCAGGGGTGAGTTTAATGTACTGTATACTAGTATCGAAACACGGGTCCCTAAACCCGACAACAGGTTACCTAACCCTACCCGTCGGCCGCTCGTGTCCTTTTGCTTCCGCCTGAGCAAACGAGGTGCCTTCGGTACGTACGAAACTGCTTGCTGCGATCGGCTTGCACTGACACTGCTTTAACATTCCTATTTATCTATCTATTTAAGTTGAACGAAACTGGATCATCGAAAGCATGGGAAGACATCCGGTCTCCCAAAACTGAGACAGCATCTAGGTGCAAACACGAATCAAGCACACTGGTGAACCTCTGTTCACTTCTTCTTTTCACGGATCTCAGTACCTCCGGGGTACGTGCATTTCGAACTGGAACCAAGCTTCTTGCTTGCCGTGTAGTCGATTGCTTTCAGGTAGGCACATAGGTCTTCGAAGCGACCGCCCTTGCCAGTCCCGTGCTGCTCGACCCACACTAGGTACTTCTCAAGGCTCGAATCCTTTGTCATCTTAGCATACGAAACATCCATCTTCGAAACCTTGGGAAGGCGGCAGATCGTTGTGCCCCAGTCCTCCAGGCTGGAGATGCCGGGAGGATAGGTGATCAGGACACCTGGACCTGCCGGCAAGACCGGCATCTGACTCGAAGCGCCACCTGCCTGCAATCGCTCATCATGTAGCGCTTTCTGCTGTTCCTGATATGCGATTGCCTCCCATTCTTCCAGCTCCCAGTCTTCTGGCCCGCGCTGGCGCTTGCTCGCATCGGACATCGATCCATATCCAGCTGAGCTCTCTTCTGACTTCTGGACTCCAGCATGTTGAGCTCGCAGCAAAATCTCTCGAGCTGCTGTCAACTCGGCCTCGGTCACTGGAACCGTCTTGGGGGCTGCCTTAGGTGCCATGGTCTCTCAAAGGTCTTGCTGGACAATCTTTGCACGCTTGAGATCACTTGAAGTGTGCTGCAAATGCAAACGAGGTTTCGAACTCTTGTCTCACATATTTTCATGACGAAACTCTGAAGGCAAAATTACGGACATTAACATTCATGTGCGTTGATTTTCAACTCAAGTCGGAATGGAGACATGCCTCACTTAGTTATGCACTGACCCATTCACTGCACGAACGAACGAACGACGAGGTTGCCACCGACTCGACACATGAAAAGGCGAAGCGCTGATTGCTTAAAACAAAACTTGCATGGGCTACTAATTTTTCTGGCGTCTGTGAATCAATTCCCAACAGATTCATTCGGATTGATGGCTCTGGCTGCTCGTGACTGTGCAACTCTCTTGCGACGTTCCTTCTCTGCCTTTTTCCTATCAAGAACCACCTGCTCGTCTGCCAGCTGGTATCTGGCATTCCTGCAGCAGGATCTGAGCAAGTACATTGGTTCTGCTTTGTCCTTGGTTAGGGCATCAGCTACCATATGTCCTGTCGGACACCACCGAGGCTCCAGCCCAGTCCTCTGAATGGACTGTTTGATGATGGCTATATCTATGGCTGTTCGCTTACCACTCCCTAATGATGTCAAATGGTCGTAAAGAGATCTGCAGTCGGTGACTCCTAGAGGTGACTCCTTCATCGGCATGTTCCAAAAGGAATGGTCCGTCTAAACACTCTGCTAGCATCAACATAACCCACTCACAAACTCCGGCTGCGGTCGAGAACGACTGGCTTTCACCTCCCATGGTAGATGAAACCACTCTCGGAAGACGATATGACTTCCAGGAGAAACAGTGGATTGGCACATCAGCGCCCTGACGCATCTTGTCCGAGGTGAAGGCAACAATCCATCCTCCTTGTGTTTTCAACTCTGAGGAATTTGCGAAAGCAGCATCTGACCAAAAACACGTCGTCAGTTCTGCCAACGGAATGTAAGGAACTCGAATGGTCAGGTCTGATTGCTGTCGCGCCCGTCTCACCGCCTGATTGGCTTGGAGAAGATCAGAAATTGTTGGCCGAGGAAAACACTGCTGGCTCATCGAAGTTTGAACCGCTAGGTCAGGTCTCGACTGAGTGCTCAGCCAACTCAAAGCACCATTGACTGCTCTCAATGCGGCAATCTCTTGGGCATTCGCTTCAAGCCAGTGTTTCTTCGCTCTATGCTTTGAAATTCTGATCGGCTGTATATGTTCTGCGTACTCCTTTTGTTGGTATGTGATCTCGAAAGTGTTTTCATCTTGTGTGTATATTGTGCCCAGGAACTCTCCGGTGCCTGACCTCCACTTCCTGAAAGGAAAACGTTTCTTCAACTGTTCAATGGCACGATCGTATTTGGGACCATGTCCTCCGGTGATGGTGTCATCCACGTGTGCTCCCAAAATGCCCTCGAGCCCACCGTCGTCTCCGAAACACAAATACAGGCAACTATCGAATTTGCTCTTAACGAATCCGGCTGTCAAGGCCTGTTTGTCGAACTCACAGTACCACTCATGTGGAGCATCATTCGCTCCGTAGATGTTCCCCAACACTTGGACTAGAGACCCTGGCTCTACTCCTGGTACCCCCCCCAGGGGGGAGTTCAGCAAAAACTGGATTCTCGAGCGCTTTCTGCCTCACATCTGCCTCTAGAAATGCCCCTTTTATGTCTCCGAGACACATTCTCCATCGATGGCTTACAATCATTTGTACCAAATTGGGACAGCGTGGGAGAGTGACATTTGCCGGCTAGAACTTTCTGAAACAAATCCGGGTCATGGTGCCCTCTCAAACACCAACGTGATTTGATCTTGCTGTTTCCATCTTCATGTTTCTCTACAATCACGAACCGGCTAGTCATGATCCGATGGGGTCGGTGAGTTCGGATCCGTTGAGCTTCGGCAGGAGGAATGACTTTCAAGGCCTTCTTCTCATCTCGGAGCGTGGTCCATTCGACTGTCTTGGACAGATCAATTTGTTCTTGTAATTCGGCTGTGTTGTTCGAGTGATGCAATTCCTTCTGCATCTTCTTCTGCAGAAAACTTGCTACCAGGATCTGGAATGACTCGGCTGGTCCATGCTCCTTCACCAGTTCTGCGAACAGACAGCTATCTGCAGGATCCTCTTCCACCCTCTGGCTCTTCGTGTTCCTATCTGCATCGCTGGGAGAGTGACTGCGTTTCGTGCCATGGTTTTCTTCCAGCATGTCTTGCAAATCATCAATCTTTGTTTCAGGAGGTCGAAGCCAAAAGGTAGGTGGACTCTTGTGACGCTGTCTCACACGAACTGGACCATAGCCTACATCTTGTTCACGGTTGTCGGAAGGTTCGGAAGGGCTAGCGTATGGCTCTGGCTTCACTGAACTAACGGCCGGAGGAGAGACTTCTGCTCCGGTTGCGGCCTCTGGTTGGGCCTCCGTGCCAGTGGAACCCGCGATCACCAATGAACTGTCTTTGAGGACTGGTCTTGTCTCGTTTGATCGTTTGGGACGAATCTTGAACTGGCTTTCTCCCTTCCAGACAGTATCCCAACATTTTGCTTCTTGGCTGCTTGGATCTGACAATGGCTGATGAGTCACACATTCTTTGGTGTCCGAACGAATTGTTTTGCGCCAATTTTCTAAAGACATGCCTTGCAAACAAGAGTCATCACTTGACGGCCAAAAACAATGTGTACGTTCTTGACGATGGACACGAATCAACAGGTCACCTTTCTGCAACCAAAAGTCCTCGACAGATTCCGGTGGTTGTCTGCTCTGTTCTGGGGTCGGCGTTCCCGTCAGGTCTACGAACTGTGTTCCGAGCTGCTTGCAACTAGCTTCATTCATCAGGCTCGAGAGACCTAGCATTTCTCTTCCATCTGACTGGGCTAGAACACGTTCTTCTTGAGTGGCATGACGGAGATGTTCCGGTGCAACCTTGAACAAGTTCTTCCTGTGGTAAATGAGAAAGTTTCTGCCTATCCTACCCATCACTATTGCAACCCCATACCATCTGCCTCCTACCAGTCTAACTCCCTTTTCATACTTTTGGGTCCTCCAGTAGGATACGTAATCACCTGGCAGGAATTCTCGCTCTGCACGTGGTCTAGCATTCAGGGCAGTTCGAAGACTGGTGTCGTCTTGAGACATGATCAATGCTGTGCGTGCCTGTGAACGACGAGGATTTCTCCCAAACACCAATTGGCAGGGCGAAAGTCCCTTCTGGTTGAGCAGCTCGTTCTTGGCACTGCTTGTCTGTACTAGGCATTGTTCATACTCTTCTTTGTTTCTAGGCTGAACCTGGTCTAATACTTTCTGTAGAATGACCTCGAACAAATGACCATGCTTCTCCACTTTTCCTAATTGGTTATGTGCCTCTGCTGCACTGGTGATTATGCGAGTACCCTCATGCTCCAACTGTTGAAACACTGCTTCGGCCGTGTTGGTCTTTGCCGGGTCCACGATCACTTCGACCGGAGGTCCTGCCCACCTGTGCCAATGTTCCAAAAACAGTTTCTTGAGAACCGAGGAAGTTTCTTTCTCATAAAAGGGAATCATCACCTGGAAACTAGTGGCATAGTCAACAATGTTCATGCACTTGATCTGTTGATTGACCTGCCAGCCTGGCATGAGCT